GGGTCAGTGTTACTGGACGGGCAGGTAGCGGATGGACGGGTAGGGTGGACGGCGGGTAGGGCGCGGTGCAGGTACGGGAGCAGCGGTGCAGCAGGTAGGGCGCGGTGCGGGTACGGGAGCAGCAGGGGTGGCGCGATGTTCTAGCTATACCACAATGGACCTGACGATACCTGAAATAAAATGTTTGATGGATGCTCCCACTTTTGCTACCTGAGGCAGCGTCTGGTATCGTGTGGTATCGGAATTCATTGGAATTCCCAGTTCTATGGTTTTGCGTGACCCAGCGATACTCGGCGATACCGGGCGATGCCTGGGCGATACCCTCCGTGATCGTGTTTTCACTGGGCCTCAACTCCCACCGTCCAGTCACTACGCCATCAAGGCGGAGGCGACACGACCAGCTCACTGACCCAAGAAGTTGGCTCTCGAGTCTCGACAAGATCTTCTTCTCTAATGTGTTAAAATATAATCAAGCCGAAACAAAGTGCACGGTACATATATAAACGTGTCTCTACTATGGACGGCCATCCTTTCCGGGCTTGTCATCCCATTCTCAAATCGTCTTATAGATGCCCACGTACTGTACCCTCATCGACGCGTCAAAGCCACTGATGGTCTGCGAAGTTGGGTTCCCGGGATAGCTTCCTCCGACCGCCAGGTCGAGGGTGATGTAGTAGGGGTTGTATGCCAATTGTTCCCACTGATCAAAAGTCCCAATCATCGCGCCAGTGACGTGGTAATACTCCGTGCCGTCCAGATACCATGTCAGCTGTTGCTGTGTCCAGTCCGAATTCCTCCTGTCGACCTTGAACGCCCAGGTGTGGTACTGGCCTCCCGCATACGTCACACGACCATTAAAGGCACCATTATTGTTGCCTTTTGCGTCCAGGAAGTGCAGCGTTCCCTGGTTCTGGTTGCTGAGTTTGTCGGTGACCTCGAAGATGTCCCACTCGCCGCATTCGGGCCACGACACGCCGCTGGTGCGGAAATCGTTGCCGAGAGCCCAGAAGGCGGGCCAGAGCCCTGCAAATTCCGCCGGGCTGCCAGTCAAGTCTGGCACCCATAGCTCGGCCTGGAAGACCATGGCGCCGCCGTCTTCGCACGCCTGCGCCGTGGTGCTCTCGAGGCGCCCCGAGAACCACTGGTTCCCAGAAAACGTGGGGACGATGTATAGCTGGCCGTCGCCCGACAGGTGAACATTGGCGGTACCGGCGGTGTAAATCTCGAGCTCGCCGTTGTCGCCAGGATTGCCGGTCTTCTGTACCCAATTTGCGGCGTTAATGCCTACAAAAAGAGACAACTAAGCGCCGATAATGGGTCTCTAAAAACAGGCTCACCTGCGCCGTGGTCACCGTTGAAGTCGTCAGACCACACGACCTGGTAGCCGCTGAGTGCCGGGATCGACGCCGAAGTGGTCGCCAAAAATAAGCAGAGGGTGAGAAGGGGAGCAGTAGCGAATCGCATAGTTGATGCCAATGCCCTGTGGTTCCCGGTGCTGGTTCGTCGAGGAGCACTCGCTACTCAAGTCTTCGACAGACGTCGATTCTTTATACTGAACGACCGAAACTTTATCTCTGTGGTCCGGAAAGGCGACAAAAAAAGAACAAGTCTAATTCGAGCCGAAACGTCCCGTGGTACACAACACATGAGGTGCGAGCGAAGTCTGGTGTAGCGTCTGTTCACAAGAGACTACTCGTGGCCTATATCCCCCGCGTGCTCATCTTCGTTGAGCAATCTGATTCACATACACCTAGCAGCAAGCCCGATCACCCCGAGCCGACTTGCAGCGCGATTGAATTTATACCGCTCGCACAAGTACGAAGTTCGCAACCGGTGTTGCAACCACGTTGCGCCAGTCGAAGCGTTGTTCACACCATGCCCAGCTGGATGCCCAATGCGATCACCAGGACCACATACCAACCCGACACAGGTAACCACACTCTTCGCCACAGAATGAGTGTTGAAGTCGACGCATTCTTTTCGGGCCGGGCTTCGATGAAACAACACCCAGCGCCCATTTAGGAAGTTGTGTTTGGCTGGTGTTTGATGTCCGACCTGTCCGAGAATGGACGAAAGCAGTTCGCCTTTAACTCCGGCATTTACCTCGGAGGCTGGTGTCCATTCAAACTACGGCTTGCGGTGGAAAAACTGTCACTGGTTGAACATTTCAAGTTTTTGAGTGAAAAAATTGGTTAAAAATGTTTTGAACTAAAAAATTCAAACCCTTTTTCACCAGTTTTTTCACTCAAAATTTGAAATGTTCAGCCAGTGTGTATTCTCACATGATAAATAATCAGAAGATGGATGACAAAAATGAATCCCATGAACCCCAGACGATTGAATTTCAAGGAGGCAGCGAAAGTAGCAAATAAATGTATGAAATAATGGATATCCCACGGGTAAACATGTTACCTGAAGGTGGTGGTAAGTGGCATGAAGATGAAAAAAGCGCAGAACGAACATAGGAAGAGTGAATACACTATTGTGTGTTAGGGTTACACGACCGGCCATTCAGAAGTAAGTTTTGAATTGATGGAAATGCTCCCCGGTAAGACTCTTCCAGTATTGATATTGTGTCAGCAATATCCACTGACTCTGTGTCGTTGATGTCCACTGACTCTGTGTCGGTGATGTCCACCGACTCTAAATTGCAACCCGATTTCGATAAAAATGTTGATAGCGAATCGATGGGATTCGGATCGAGGAACCGCTCCGGGACTTGGAGGCTACGGAGCGCAGGGGCGGTCAAGGTCTGGAGATATCCTGTGACTGCTTCGGTGCCTAATTGGTTCAAGACCAATGATTCCAAGCGCAGGAGACGAATATCCGAAAAAGGAAGTTCATCATCCTCATCAGGACAGAGGTTCAGCTCGCAATGCAACAGGTCAGATGTCTTCTGTAGAACTGGGACGCAATCGCGCGGATATACACTCTTCAGAGTCAGCGAAGTCAGCTGCGCCCATGGTAAGGTGACGCTGGAAGCGGCAAGGCCATTGAAAATGACAGTCCGTAGCAGCGGCACTCCCCGAAGGGCAACAGTGTCTGACTCGTGTTCAACCGACAAATCCAGACGCCGGAGCAGAGGCATTGGGCCGTCAAGTTGGGGGGGGAGGTAAGCCGTCAATATCAAGTATTGCCAACGTGCGTGATGCAAATTGGCTGAGGCAAAGACTTTGGATGAGGCGTCCCAATCGTCAAGGTCGAAGGAAAGCGGGCAATGGCTGGACCGATTCAGCCAGGTTTCGAATATATGGGGACGTTGTTTGGACAACGATATCGCCCTCCAAAGCATGGGGGTCGTAATGGCTATTTCCCTCCACTCGTGGCAAATGTGGGTCAAGAGGATTGGTGAGAGAAGCCCTGTCAACGGTGGGCAGAGGGGGTAGGTGGGCAGGAAATGCAGAAAGATCTCCGACACGTTTTCGCTCGGCAAGGTCAGCACCAGGTACTTTTAAGAATCAAGTCTCTCTTGGACTAGAGCTTTCTCGGTTTGAAATGCTGAAAGCGCCCCCTCTAGAACCAGAATCTGCGCCTCAAGGTTTGCGACATGGGTAGTAGGGTACGATCTGCTTCGAGGGTGCTGAGCATGAGGGACTAGTGAAAGGCTTAGTGATTTGTAAGGTTTCAGTTGTCTACACACCCGGGTTCTCTGCGTCTTGCGGGAAGGAAAGTTTGGTACATGGGCGCCCGGCGGAGGAAGGAGAAAGCCAACGGTAGCGTGACTGATTGATGACTGTCACTGATCCCCCTTTCTCTCTTACTTACAGTCAACAGAATTTACCGTGCGCGTAGGGTCGGGGAGTAGGGAAGGCAAATCCTCGATCATAAATTCAAGACCGCGCTGTAAATAAATTTGACTTGGGCCGGGTGCATAAAAAACACTCCTGTATTCGTTGGCAACTTCAAAGCAGTATGCAGAATTCAAATGGATCCCGTCTCAAATTGAGTCCGTTTTCTAAAAAAATGCGACTTTCAACTTCAGCGCAAGTCGCAGGCATGTTCTGATCCTGACGGTCAATCTCTTGAATTCCTTTCTGATGTTCCCAGTCCGAATGCAGTCATTTTATTACCTACAAAAACGCTCTTACCCGTAGCACTCTCAAATATAAACCATTTTATGAACTTCTGCCATAGCTGTAACCGCCCACAACGGAGTACACCTTGTGCCGTCTATTTTGTTGTATGTTTTCTGCGAGTAATTTTATATGCCGGATTCCGAGTCCTTGATTTTTCAGTTGAGCGTTTAAAAAAGCTAGCCTGATTCAATTCAAACCAATTTTGGGTTTGTGAGCAATTTCTGTCAAATGCTCATGAGCACATTTAGTTGGCCAGCTCTGCAGACATGTCAGCAATCGGGTGTGGTGCAGGGTCCATGGCAGCTGGCATTGTTGAATTGGTCGCGCAGGTTCTAAAGTTGGCTGCGGCTCGGGGTTCGACTCCCCGCATCCGAATACATTTAAGAGGTCGATCCTTTTTTTTCTTGCTCTTTGGGCTTCATTTTTTGTGGGCTAGTAATTGTAAATGAATTTGATTGAGGCTTTTAAACGCCGAATACATGTTGAGTACCTGAAATACCCGAGAAAGCTGGACGCTATTCAACTCATGAAATCATTCACGCCAAGCGACCTATTAGTTATAATATCCAGCCTACGTATGTAGGTTCTCTATCTAGGCTGGAATTCGGGTGTGGTGCGCGGTGCACGGCAGCGGTCCATCTAACGAAGCGCGTCAGCTGCAGCCCGGGGTTCGACTCCCCGCACCTGAATGATCATGGTGATGCCAATTTTTTTACTCAACGATATGTCCAAGTCGCTCGTTGGTGAGCTGAAAACAGTTGGAACACACGACTCGGGTGTGGTGCACAGCGGTCCATGCGAAACTGTGAAGCGCGTCAGCTGCAGCCCGGGGTTTAATTCGACTCCCCGCACATGAATGAACCGTGGCGAAACTTCTTAGCTTTTCTCAACGTATGTCCTTGGTGAGCCGAGAACATTTGTACATCGGGTGTGGTGCATGGTGCACGGCGACTCGCGTTCATTCCGCAGGTTGAGGTTGTTTATAGACTGCAGCCCGGGGTTCGACTCCCCGCACCTGAATATTAGAAGGTTGTGGAAGTTTTTACCCGACAATGCGCTCAAGTCGCTCCCTGGTGAGCCGAGAACAGTTTGGACATACAATTCGGGTGTGGTGCATGGTGCGCGGCAGCGTTCATTGCGGCGATTGAGAGCGTGTATAGCCTGCAGCCCGGGGTTCGACTCCCCGCACCTGAATCAGCCGCGGAAAAACCAATTTTTTGCTCGACGATATGTCCATGTCGCTCCTTGGTGAGCTGAGAACATTTGGAACGCACGACTCGGGTGTGGTGCACGGTGTTCGGCAGCGCTCTTTTACAGATAGAGAAATGGATCAGCTGCAGCCCGGGGTTCGACTCCCCGCATCCGAATTCCCAGCCAGGTCTGTTTTTTATTTTATTTTTTAATTGGGGGCGTGTAATCTACAGCCGTTTCTCTGACTCTGAGAACACTCGTGATGCATTCAAGGACGGCTTGGACTCATGAGTCATGGCGAGGGATAACTTTTCATGGGAAATGCTCAGCAATCGTTGGAACAATGAACGTTGAACATCATACTGTAGCCTGGATGATGCCAAGTTGAAAAGATCGTCTGGATTCGAAGTTGTAGCGAATATTTTGGCGGTGAAATATTCCGAGGTATGTTGCAGGCGTACAGTTTTCATACCCGCCTCACCAGCAGGATGGAATATCGACCGGATGTTCATTGGTGTTCCAAGTAGTAGGAAGGAGATAAGGAGGAATCCCAAACTTAGAAAGAATAGTGCCGTCAATCACAAAGTTCCGATATTGCCCGAGGTGCTTGGACTTATGGAGAACCATGAACGTTGGTCGTTGCCAGCAGCGAGAATACAACCAATAGATATGCATCAAGATGGCGGCGGGAGTCTCAAGAAAACATCAGTGTTGTACGGTGACCAACGTGGTCAGCACACGAAGCCTCGGAGATGATACTTACTTGGGTCTTGGCACCGTTAGGCTTTGAGAAGACAAAGACAAGAAGACGGTCAGCCCCCGGAAAACGACGTCAAAATAAACGCAGGCCCTGAGACAGAACTGAGCAAGAACTGAGGGTGGGGTGTAAGCGAGAAGAGGCGGGATGGCGATATCGGCCGAAGCCGATTCGTCCGAAGAAAAATGACTTCGGGTAAAAGCTAGTCGACGACAAATAGGCCTTGCAAACCGCGCTTGAGCTTGTTGGCGTCTTTCCAGTCGCGCATCCCGCAGTGGCCCTCAGTGGGTATAAAAACACACTGAGACGAGGATCTGGCAACGGTCACGTTCAGTCATCGCCCAAAAGCGGCGATGGTCCAGCTGGCTTTCTGTTCTTCCTTTTTACGACCATCTCGTTTCCCTAGACTCTCACCGCGACTCATCATGCGTCCCCTCACCGTCGACTCGCTCAACCCCCAGCTCTTGACTGTTCAATACGCCGTCCGCGGCGAGCTCGCGATCAAGGCAGAGACGTACCGCGACCAGCTCAAGGCTGGCGGCCACAATCTCCCCTTTGACAAGGTCATCTCCTCCAACATCGGTAATCCCCAGCAGAAGGGACTCGATCAGCCCCCGATCACCTTTACGCGGCAGGTACGTCGCAGCAACATCGATCGGAATAAATTACTGAGACACTCGGATTTACAGGTGGCGGCGTTGACCGAGTGGCCTGCGCTGGCGGACCTCGCGCCGGGCGTCTTTCCCGCGGACGTTGTCGCGCGCGCAAAGGAGCTGTCCGTCGAGATCGGGTCCATCGGCGCATACTCGCACAGCCAGGGTGTCCCATTCATCCGCAAGGGCGTGGCCAAATTCATTTCTGGTGAGCGCTAATTTCTGCCTCGGTGTCATGGATGGATCGACGCGGTATATGCGTCGCCTTGTGTGACGATGTCTTGGATCGATTCATACAAAGCGCGTCTCGTTACCTTGAAGCGCGCCTGCTCCAAGTTTAAACGCCGTCGGGCGGCACCACGAGGCGTGCGAGAGGCATCTCAGTTTCCATTTTAACTGGGCGTAAATGCCCCCACTGACATTCGGTGTCGTGGATGGACCATAGCCGACCCCGATCTACGCGGTGTATGCGTCGACTTCATGATATCTTGAATCGATTCATGCAGAGCTCATCTCGTTGCATTGCGCGACGCTCTGCGTTTTATCACCGCACCATCGATTTCGCGGGGTACGGCAACACGAGGCGTGCGCGGGAAGCATCCAAATTCATATTTTGACTGGGCGTACGCTATGTCGCAATGTCCCAGCTGGAAGTCTGCTCGGCGCGCGCGTGTTTTGTCACGCCGCTGGCATTCTGATAACGCCGCTGACGAGTGCGGGTGCGGATGGCCGCTCACCACGCTGCTCCCGGCGTCTTTGTATGCGTGGCAAAATATATTTCGTGCATCTTTTCCGTTGCTTCGACGTCGGGAGCAATCGCGTCGCGTCGTCGCGCCTTGTCGTGTCTACATCGCATCTTACGGCGCTCTTTCTCCGCATCCAATGCTAACACCCTCCCCCAGACCGCGACGGCTACCCCGCCAACCCGGATGACATCTTCCTCACCGCCGGCGCCTCCGCGGGCGTCTCCCTCCTCATCAACATGCTCATCTCCGAACCCACCGCCGGCATCCTCATCCCCATCCCCCAATACCCCCTCTACACCGCCGCCCTCGCCCAGCACCACGGCCGCCCCATCCCCTACCTCCTCGACGAGACCTCCGGCTGGTCCACATCCATCGCGTCCATCTCCGCTGCCTTGGAGGCCGCCGCGAAGGAGGGCACGAAACCCAAGGCGCTCGTCATCATCAACCCGGGCAACCCCACCGGCGCCTTGCTGAGTGCGGAGACGATGGCCGAGCTCGTGCGTCTCTGCGAGGAGCACTCGCTCGTGCTCCTCGCGGACGAGGTGTACCAAAACAACCTGCACGACGCCGCGCACCACCCGTTCACGTCTTTCAAGAAGGTCGTGCGCGATCTCCAGTCGCCCGTCCCTCTGGTGTCGTTCCACTCCATCTCCAAGGGCGTCTCGGGCGAGTGCGGGAGACGTGGGGGGTACTTTGAGCTCACGAACGTGTCGGAGGAGGTGCGCGCGCTGATATACAAGCTCGTCAGTGTGGGGCTGTGTCCGCCCATCTCGGGGCAGATTGGGGTGGATAGCATGGTACGACCGCCGAAAGAAGGCGAGCCGAGCTATAAGCTGTGGAAGGAGGAGACGGACACGATACATGCGGCGCTGGCGGAGAGGACGCGCGTCATGGCGCGCAGACTGAATGGGCTCCCGGGCGTGTCGTGCGTCGAGAGTCCTGGGGCGCTGTATTTGTTCCCCAAGATCGAGCTGTCGGAGAGCGCGATCAAGGTGGCGAGGGAGGCCGGGAAGGAGCCCGATGCGTTCTATGCGCTTGCCCTGCTTGATGAGACGGGCATTTGTGTGGTGCCCGGGAGCGGGTTCGGCCAGAGGGACGGCGAGTGGCATTATCGGCTGACGTGTCTTTGCCCGGGGGTGGAGGAGTATGTGGGCAAGTTGGAGAGGTTCCATATGGGGTTCGTCAAGAAGTACGCATAAATGAGGAGAGAGGAAAAAAGAAAGTAGAAACTGCATATAGATAGACTCGTTGTTTTGCTTTATGCTTTGTTCGTGGAATTTGGAATGCTCTCCGCTCGCTTTCATGTCGCGTCGCGCGCCGCCGAAGCTTTTTAGTCGTGAGTGTGGACTGGTCGACATCAATAACAGAATAACAGTCATGATGATCACGCCACCGCTCTTGTCCTCTTCCGTTTCCCAAGTTTCCTTTACTCTAGGAGGAGGACGAGGATTGCCTGCGCGGTCCCAAATTAAAACAGCATAGGACCTCGGGTGTGTACAGCTGGAGATCTTCTACTCGTATTGAGCCTTTCGTCAGTCCCTCATGCTCAGCGCCCTCGAAGCAGATCGTGCTTGTGTCGCAACCATTGACGCGGAGATTTTGGATCCAGAGCAGCGCTCGTTTCCAATTTCAAGTTTCGCATTGCCAGCCGAGAGAGCTCTAGCTCAAGAGCGGCTCGATTCGTACAAGTACCCGGTGCTGACTTTGCCTAGCGAAATCGTGTCGGAAATTTTTCTGCATTTCCTGCCGACCTACCCGCTTTGCCCGCCATTAATGGGCATTTTCTCGCCAACCGTTTTGACCCACATTTGCCACAAATGGAGAGAAATAGCCGTTGCCACCCCCATGCTTTGGAGGGCGATATCGTTGTCCAAACTACGTCCCGGTATATTCGAAGCGTGGCTGAATCGGTCTGGCCATTGCCCGCTTTCTTTCGACCTTATTAATTGGGACGCCTTACCCGAAGTCGTCGCCTTAGCCACTTCGCATTGCGCACGTTGGGAATACTTCAAATTGACACTTTACCGAGGCTTCTCATTTGGTCTCCCCTCACTTGACGGTCCGATGCCTCTGCTCCGGCACCTGGAATTGTCGGTTGAACAGGAGTTGGATCCCATCATTACCTTTGGAGACGCGCCGTTGCTACGTTCAGTCCTTCTCGATGCCGATGCCGCTGCCAGCGTCAGCTTACCATGGGCGCAGTTGACTTCGCTGACTCTGGAGAGAGTAAGCCCACGCGACAGTTCCGCAGTGCTGCAGCAGACATCTAACCTGTTGCATTGCGAGCTGAACCTCTACCATGGTCGGGATAATCAACTTTCTTTTCCGGATATCCGTCTTCTGCGCTTGGAATCACTGGTCTTGAACCAACCAAGCATCAGCATCACCCCAGTCACAGGATATCTCGAGACCTTGATCGCCCCTGCGCTCCGTAGCCTCCAAGTCTCGGAGGAGTTCCTCCATCCGAATCCCATCGATTCGCTATCAATATTTTTATCGAAATCCGGTTGCAATCCAGACTCAGTGGACATCACTGGCACAATTTCCATACCGGAAGACTCTTACCGCAGAGCATTTCCATCAATTCAAAACTTTCTTCTGAATGGATGGTCGTGTAAGCCTGACGCACAATAGTGTATTCACTCTTCCTATGTTCGTTCTGCGCTTCCTTCG